AAAAAAAAAAAAAAACTAAATATGTCCTCACAAAGTGTGGCCTTAAAGTTCAGGATTCTCAATGTTGGTTCTTTACAACAAATATGAAATATGAATGTAATAGGAAAAGCAAGTCTAACATAAAAGTCTTATTTTTGAAAATGCACATGCCTTTTGACTCAGAATGTCTCTAACAATTTCATGTCAAAGAAAAACTGGAAATTCCTCAAAAATGTGAAAGACAAGCACATTCATTTTTACCCTTGGTAGAGGGAGGGCTGAGAAGAAGACTAGAAAAAAGCCAGAAGTCCTAAAACAGAAGTTAATTTATTAAGTTATGGTACATCAATGGGATGGAATACCTTGTAGCTTTTTTAAATTGATGTTGTAAAGATTATTCAGTGACACAGAAGTTGTTGATTTCTGCATTTTCTATAAATAAAGTGTAGAGAATCACAGGAGCGTGCAAAGTTGAAAGATATTCAGACAATGTTACTAGGTGTATTCATTGTCATTTGCATGGCTAGAGTCCTCAAAATGACAGGTTAAGTGGGGAATGATTAACTCTATTTTGACCATGCTGACTTTGTGACTCCCACAGACAAAAGGATGAAAGTGTTCAAAAAGGAGGTCCACATCAACCAGCCCTCTTTTCTCTTTCAATGAAGGTCTATCCCATTAAATCCTGTCAGCTCTATAGCACCTCCCTCACCACTAAAATCTTCCAACTTTCTTGAAGTCTTGCTTCTATTTTCAATTTTCAGCCTGATATCTCTACTCACTCTTCACTGTTCCCTGTCACTACTATCATACTGCTATGTAGGCGAGAGCCTTAAAGCCATTTTTAGTTTCTGCTCTTCCTCATGCACCTTTATCTAGTTGAATACCAAGTGGCATGAATTCTACTTCCACAGTATTCTTCCCTCCACACTCCCTCTTTTGCCATCTCTTGCCATTGGCCTTATCTGGGTAGGCAATCTCTCTTGTCAGTAGTGCAGCATCCTCCTTCCTGGCCTCCCTATTTCTAGTCTCTTGCCAAGCAAGTCACTGGCAATAGTGTGAAGTTCCTGAAGCAGTTTCACTTCAGTCACTTTCCATTCAAAGAAACCTTCTGCATCAGCTCGAACACAGCAAACTTGTAATTTGTTGAACATCCTGGGGTTGGGGTGATTTCAAGACACAGTGCTGCATCTCTTGGCTTACCTACTCCACTGCACTCTTTTTGCACTTGCCAATGTTTTTATTAAAGCATTTTATTCATTCACTCTTAAATTAGAGCCAGTTTTGTGCTAGTTTGCCATCCCAGCTAAATAACTCATTCAGTAAATGTTTGTGGAACACCTACAACATGCCAGGCACTATGCTAAGCTCTGGAGTTGTAGTTGTATCAAAAAAGAAAAGAAAAGAAACTTGCCTCATTGCCCTAGAGATTCTGTCCTAGAATACCGTCACATTTTATGGAACTGGGGTTAAGGCTTCAACATGTGAACATAGTTCAGCCCATAGCATCCCACTAATCCACAGGTTCACAGAATGCTGATCTCACCTCCATCTTGGGGTGGCCAATCCCATTACCCATGTGATTGTGTCAGAAGTGGGCATATGACCCAATAATGAGCTAAGAGGGGGGATATGGAGAGGATATCTTCAGGAAGAAAATAATAGAAAGAGATCATGTCTCTTCTTTTTTTGGAAATTGCCTTTCCTGGAGACGACATCTAACATTTGTACTAACATCCTGAGGATGAAACTAACACTGAAGACAGTAGAGCAGAGACATGAAAAGAACCTGGATTGTGTTGACACTTTGAGCCCTGAATCAACCAACCTTGACGGGTCTATTCCAGAACATACGTGTCCTGTTATGTGTCATACCAAATGTCCTCATGGTTTAAGAATCTTTGGGGTACAGTTTTCTGTTACTTGCTGCTAAGAGAATTTTAGCTTTTGTACCTGCCCATCATTCAAGCCACCCCTTATTTCTACCATCTTGTTCACCACCATCAGGACCAATAAATATTCTGCCAGTTAACTCTACTCATGTTCTTCTATAGAAATGACAATGAAACATGTATTCAACTTTCTGTACTTATAAACATAAAAATTGTTCAGCATAGGGCCCTCTGTGATGGCACAATGGGTTAAAATGCAGCATTTCAAAGCTAGCCACAGCCACTTCAGCACATGGTGACCCACATGGCACAGCAGGCCTCTCCTGTCTTGCCTGCTGCTCCCCTCAGCAGTGTACTCTGTCAATCTGCCTGTTCTGCTCCCCACTCTCTCTGGTGAATCCGCTCACTGCCCCTGCACCTCAGGCCTATGCCCCAGTTCTGTATGCATAAATAAATAAATCTTTTTTTAAAAATTGTTCAGCATAATTGTGGTTGAAAAATACTTAACGAAGATGCAGGAACCAAATGGGCAGGTGATGTAAGAGGCTAAAAAAAAAAAAAAAAAAAAGCACAGATTACTCACTCTCAGTGCTTGGTTGGCTTCATTCTTGCACAGCAGGCAATTGAAGTCAAACAAAGCAAGAAATTAGAGTGCTGACAGAACTGAACCACACGTTTACATGTGATGAAAGTCATCTTGAACTTTGTCAAGAGGCTAGGAAGGAAAATTAGTGTTTATGGACCACCAATATAATATTTCTGGAATTACACCAGAAATGCATAGAAAAGATTAAGTTAGATGGTAAAATAAGAGTAGTGAACATCTATTGAGCATTTATTATTCTAAAGTATTAACATGGATTAACTCAATCTTACAGAAATTCTATGAAGTAAATATCTTTAATATCATCATTGATATGATCAGTGCATTAGTTTGTTCAGGCTGTCATTACAAAGCACCCCAGGCTGAGTAACTTAATTCTTTTCATACAATTTGGGAGACTTGAAGTCCAAGATCAAGGTGTTGGAAAATTTGGTTTCTTCTGAGCCCTCTTCTAGGCTTACAGAGAACTATCTTCTCCCTTGCCTTCTTTGTGCCTGTATTCAAATTTCTTCTTCTAATAAGGACGTAAGTGATACTGGATTAGGGCCTACATTAACAACCACATTTCTATGTAATTACCTTTTTTAAAAATAACGTATGATATTTATTTTATTTATCTTTATAAAACATTCGAAGTCTTTTAAGAAAGATCTCCAGATTCAAATGTTTGTTTAGTGATAAATTGCCCTTGAAATGTTCACCTAATGTTTCTGCTCTCTGTATATAATATTTTTAAAATAATATAATAGCTTAT